CCAACCAACTCCGCCCAAGCGAGGACAGGGCCAAACATAACTCTCGTTGACACTTGTATCGCTAAGTTACACACTTACTTAGTACTAGATATATGGCTAAGTATCGCATTTACACTTACTACCACTCGTATCGCTAACTAATGCACTTACTCTTAGTACTAGTCATATGGCTGAGTCGCGCACTTACTCTTAGTACCACTCATACAGAAAAGTGACGGACGTACTCTTCGTACCATTCATATGGCTAAGTAACGCACTTAATCTTAGTACCACCCATACAGCAACGTAATGCACCTTTCCTAGTATCACTCATAGGGCTAAGTAACGCATTTACTCTTAGTACCACTCATATCGTTAAGTAACACACTTACTCTTAGTACCACTCATGTGGCTAAGTGACGCAATTACTTTTAGTACCACTCATATCGTTAAGTAACGCGCTTACTCTTAATACCACACATAAGGTTAAGTAACACATTTACTCTTAGTACCACTCATATAGTTAAGTAACGCACTTACTCTTAGTACCACGTATGTGTATAAGTAACGCACTTACTCTTAGTACCACGTATATGGATAAGTAACGCACTTCCTCTTAGTACCACTCATATGGCTAAGTAACACACTTACTACCACTCGTATTGCTTACTGATGCACTTACTCTTAGTACTAGTCATATGGCTAAGTAACGCACTTATTTTTAGTACCACTCGTACAGCTAAGCAAAGCACTTACTCTTAGTACCACTCATTTGACTAACTAATGCACTTACTTTTGGTAATAATCATATGGCTCAGTAACGCACTTACTCTTAGTACCACTCACACACCTAAGTAACGTGCGTACTCTTTGTACCATTCATATGACTAAGTAACGCCCTTACTCTTAGTACCATCCATACAGCAAAGAAACACACTTTTCCTAATTCCACACATACAGCTTAGTAACGCTCTTATTCTTAGTACCACTAATATGCCTAAGTAAGACACTTACTCTTATTATTGGTCATATGGCTAAGTATCACACACACTCTTAGTACCACTCACACACCTAAGTAACGCAGTTACTCTCAGTACCTGTCATATGGCTAAGTAACGCACTTACTCATAGTACCATTCGTATCGCTAAGTAAAGCACTTACTCTTAGAACCACTTATATGGCTAAATAATGCATTAAGACGTACCAACTATATGTTGGTGTAAGGGCCTAATAAACTCAAGCTATTAAGACTTTATCAAACTTAAAACCTCTCCTTGGGGTCACCTCCAAGGGTCCTTGGGTGCCTGGTACAAGACCAGCCCCTATCCTCAGGTCCGAGTTTGTAGAGAGAGGGATCAAGAGGGACTTAGTCAAAACAGCAAGAGTACCTTGAACGTCGCGCAGCGTATCGTGCAGACCGTCGACCGGATTAAGCTGAAAATTTCCTATATCGAAGCTCACTCCAAGAGCTTTAAAATAAGCCAAGTTGCCTCGCGAAAAGTTCTGCCATTACGAAGTTATGGCTCGGACAGCGTTTGCCTAGCGTTGGAGTGCTAGCGTACTAGCGTTGACTCGGGTACTGTCACGCGTTCTCCTCTCCCGCTGCCGAGAGGAGCAGCATCCCATCGCCGTTCTCCTGCAGCTTCACGCTGTGCTCCTTCAGCTGGCCGGATGACAGCAGGTTTGCCCGCACACCCGGGACGCACAGCACATCGGGGATGAGCACCTGCTTCCCGGCCTTCCCTTGCAGGGCGACGGTGCCGCGGCCTTGCACGTTCTGCAGCGCCCCATTGAAGCCGCGCACGTACTTGATGGAGCCGCTCGGCTGCAGGTCAACGAAGTCGTCCTTCGTCCCCATCAGGTGGTGGGAGCAGCCGCTGTCGAGCAGGACCACCTCTGGGTTCATCTGCACAGCTGCCGCCACCGCCTGGAAGCCCTCCCCGGCCTCCGGCGCCAGCGAGACGGTCGGCTCCACGACGCCGACCAGCGAGCACGACGCCGTCTTGTCGTCCCGTGCCTTGCCGACAGCAAAGGAGTCGGCGTCCTTCGCCGAGGTCGACTTAGTCGACTGCTTCTCCTTGCGCGGCTGGTTTCCTCCTCGACGAGGACGACGGCTGCCAGACCTCCCACGGCCTCCCTTGGCGTCGTCGCCGTCGGAGTCACTGCAATCGAGGCACTCGAAGGAGAGGTGGTCGTGGCTGTGGCAGATCCAGCACTCCCGACGTCGACTTTCTCCTCCTCGACCGCTGTCCTTGGTCGACTTTTTCTTGTCGACCTCCATGGCCGGCTTCCACCCACTGCTACCACCGCCGCCCGACTGTCCGCGCTGCCCCGGTCGACCTCCTTGCTTCGCCGGAGCGACGAAGTTCGCCTGCGCCAAGAGCTCCTGGGACCGCTCTGCCTCCTGCATCGCCTCGTCCTGCAGGATGTACGAGGTCAAGTTGTTCTCGTTGAGCGTCGTCCTTGTGCCCGGCGCCATTGACAGCCGCTTCAGGAGGTTGTAGTTGCTCGAAAGTCCCTGCATGAAGTGGGTGACGTACGACGCCGTCGAGTACTGCGCGCCGGCCATCCTGATGGTGGCGAGAATCCGCCTGGCCCGGTTGCAGTAGTCGGTCGCCGTCTCCTCGTCGCCCATACGCAGGTGCGTTAGCTGTCCCTCCAGCTTGGCGATGAACAGGTCATCGGTGACTTGGTAGGTCGACTCAATGAAGTGGCACGCCTGGTGGCCGGCGTCGAGGTACTCCCGACACCACTTCAAGGCGATATGTAGGCCCGACGAGCAGCATCAGGAGATGACCATGAAGGTCAACAGCTGCACTGCTCGGAACTCCGCACGTAAGTCGGGGTCGTCCGGCGTCGCCACAATACCTCGAGCAAAGTTGATCAGCCCAGCCATCTCCAACTGGGGCTCGCTGGCTTCCTTCCAGGTGAGGATGTCCTGTCGACCAACGAGCGGCAGGGTGACCAAGATCCTGTCCGGCGCAAACTTGAAGTAGCCGTAGCTCGGTGCAATCCCGCCCGCCGTCACCTGGGTCGCCGACATCGGCGACAATCCGCTTCGTCGTCCTCCGACGTCGCCCTGCGAGGAGCCGGCAACCGCCGATGACCGCACCCCTCGTGCCTGAACGCCGCTGACTTCATCGGCGTGAATCACACCTCTCTGCCTCGACGTGCCTCCCGCACTGCTGCCGACTTGGCCACCTCCGGCGTTGACGCCCACGACGACGCCGATTTTTTTGGTCACCGGTCGAGGAGAAGCTGGTCGAGAAGGGGGATGCTCCGTCGCCCACACAGAGCAGAGTCCAGCCTCGACGACCGCCCAGGATATCGTCCCATACTCCTGGGCCTCATCGCGTCTCCTCGCATCCTCCAGCCATCCGTCCAGGGTGTCCATCACCTTGGTGTCACCTACGCGCACGTTAGTGACTGTACGGCTGCCAGCCTACGAACAACTTAGGTAAATGACCTCTACGTCGACCTGACTGAAAGGTAAGTTATGTGCCGTCCACGCTCACCGCACCATGCGGAGATAACTACTACAACGGGAGCTAGACTACGGGCTAGGCACGGGTGCTCGTGTGATCTCTGCGTTCGTTGGTCCTTAGTCGTTTTCCTAGTGCACAGACTGCTTGCTAGTTCACGGGGCAAGTTCGCAAGAGTTTCACTAGAGAAAGTTGACAACAATGGTACAATGAAGTTGGCAAGACAAGACTACATCAGAGCTAGCATTCAGGTCGGTCGACTTGCCAGCACAGCATGGTCGACCGCGTTCCAGCACGACTTGGTCGACCGCGCTCCAGCAGTGCAAAGTCGACGGCGTGCCAATGTTGCAGGTTGACGGCATGCCAGCGTTGCTCCCGCAGAACAGCATCGCACCAGCTTCGCAGGTGCTCGCAGATGATTGGCGTGCGGAGCCTTGTCACCTGCACAGCGCACACACCAAGTCAACCTGGCGCTGACGACTGCATCTGATCAGCCACCTCGACCTCGGGAGACCACCACCGAGGTCGGACTCGCCAACTTTGCCTGGGCGACCGTCGCACTCCTCCGCAGAACCTCGTCACCCAGGTAACCTGGTCGACCGGGCAACCACATCGACCAGGTGCTCCTGTATGTGCCCGTCGACCTCCCAAGTCGACGGCTACCTCCAGTCAACCTCACCAGGTCGACCACACCCCTGGTCGACCAGCTCCAGGTCGACGTCACTCCTGGTCGACCAGCTCCACGTCGACCAGCACAGTCGTCAGCCGACCACCCAAGTCGGCTATCCGAAGTCGGCGTCACCAAGTCGACGCCCCTTCTACGTCGGCTGCGACTTCCGGGCCGACCTCTTGAAGTCGGCGACCTCCCAAGTCGGCGACCTTGCAAGTTGGTGTTACGAAACGAACTTAGTCTAGGAACCGGGGTTTACTAAGGGCCTAGGCTTAGTAGCCTAGGCCAAGCGGGTGTCGAGGTGGTTGTACCAAGGAGAATCGAGAATGGGTTGTTTCACTATAGGTTTGCAAGAACATATAGCAAAAGAACATAGAGAAGGTGCACCACCAATGTAAGAAGGCATAACTACACTAAAGCTAATGCTACAGGCAGTTATAAACATACATATAAAATATGTATCGTGACACACCCCCTTAACTGCCTGCAGCACATAACTTGAGCAAGTCACACCCCCGGAACCTGGGCAAGAGGTAGGAGAAGCAGAGGAAATAGCAGCACAGATCAACCATGATAAATGCAACAACTGCAGGTGCAGGACCCGAGAGGTGGGCGTAAGAGCAAGCGCCGTGGCTGCAACGAGCAGCTGGACAGCGCGGCTCAGCACCTCTGGGGGCGTGCCTACTACAGGGAGCAGGTGCAGTGATGGCAGATAGGGCCATAGTGACCTCAGCCACGGCAGATGCAGCAGCGACAGGTGCAGGACCCGGCAGGTGGGCGTGAGAGCGGGCGCTGTGGCTGCAACGAGCAGCTGGACAGCACCGCTCAGCACCTCCGTGGGCGTGCCTGCTACAGGCAAAGGCTTCAAATGCCCGACTTACTTCTTCCACCCCCTTATCCGCCCACACAACCCCTCTGGTGCTGGCGGCTGGCGCTGGTGCTGGTTCCTGGTGCTCGTGCTGGTTCCTGGTGCTGTTTCCTGGTGCTGGCGGGGTTCTCTGCTGGCGAGGTTCTCTGCTGGCGGGGTTCTCTGCTGGCGGGGTTCTCTGCAGGCGGGGTCCTTTGCTGGCGGGGTTCTCTTGTGGCGGGGTTCTCTGCTGGCAGGGTTCTCTGCTGGCGGGGTTCTCTTGCTGGCGGCTGGCCCTGGAGCTGGTGCTGGTGCTGGCGGCTGGCCCTGAAGCTGGTGCTGGTGCTGGCGGCTGGCCCTGGAGCTGGTGCTGGCGCTTGTGACAGGCGTCGGTGCGGGTGCTGGTGCTGGCGGCTGGCGGGTCCAATGGCAGGTGATGCGTGCTGGGCGGGACGGGGGTCTCTGCTGGCGGTCGTTGCTAGGGTTGTAGCTGCTGGCTGTCCCTGCTGGCGGTGGCGCTGGCGTTGTAGCTGCTGGCGGTCCCGCCATGCCCTTCCCCCGCTTCCCTCTCCCCCACAGCGTTCGGCCGCCACTCCCTGCCCTTCTTCCCTCACCCCCTCCACAGCGACCGCTGCTGCACATGCGAACAACCACGACAGGGGGGGGGGGGTGACGAGCAGGGAGCGGGGGTAATGCGACGGGCAGAGCGACGGCGGGATAAGGAGCGGTTGGGGCGACGGGAAGCAGGGCGACGGGCGACGGTGTGCGGACGGGTGGCGGGAATCTGGCGACGGGCGGCACGGATCTGGTGATGGGCGGCAGCGCGACGGGACGGGCGACGGGCTGCAGCAGCGGTAATTTCGCGGGTGGCGGGCTGCAGTAGCGGGTAGTGCATGGGGTCGACGGGGGCGAGAGCGACGGCGCGAAACAGCGGGTCAACGAGCGCCGTCACTCCCCCCGCGACCGTTGCGTCTGTCACGACTGCAGTGACGGATTTTGCTACGGGCAAGCGACGGGGAGGGACAGACGGAGCCGCGATTTGCTGCTTGACGGGACGCGCCATCGTGAAAGCTAACGGTGGGCCCTTAGGAAATTAGGTTGGAAACGACCTAGCTCTGATACCATGTTACGAAACGAACTTAGTCTAGGAACCGGGGTTTACTAAGGGCCTAGGCTAAGTAGCCTAGGCCAAGCGGGTGTCGAGGTGGTTGTACCAAGGAGAATCGAAAATGGGTTGTTTCACTATAGGTTTGCAAGAACATATAGCAAAAGAACATAGAGAAGGTGCACCACCAATATAAGAAGGCATAACTACACTAAAGCTAATGCTACAGACAGTTATAAACATACATATAAAATATGTATCGCGACAGTCGGCGACCTTGCAAGTCGGCGGACTTGCAAGTCGGCGACCTTCGAAGTCGGTGACCTTGCAAGTCGGTGACCTTGCAAGTCGGTGACATTGCAAGTCGGCGCCGACTTCCAGGTCCACGTGCCACATCGCCGACCACCAGTTGAAGTCGGCCGCCGGCTTCCCAAGTCGGCGGCATTGCAGTGGCCCCATGCAAGTCAACCAACCCCGTCGACCAGCTCGCTCGAGTCGGTGTCGCCCACTGCTGCAAGTCGGCTGTACCTCCCGTACACCCAACCACGAAGTCGGCTCCGCCCAAGCGAGGACGGGGCCAACAACAGCTCCCGTTGACATGTACGACACTGTAGTCGCTTGTTACTCCTCCCCGGCCACTGCTGCTCTAGGCCGCCTTCTCCTGCCCTACCTGTTCCCAGAGCTGTCCGCCTTTGCCACAGTAGCCGACCTAGTCACTCACCTCCGCACTAGTGACACTCGCTACCGTGCTGCGCTCCCCGCCGAGTTTTGTTGGTGTAAGGGCCTAATAAACACAAGCTATTAAGACTTCATCAAACTTCAAACCTCTCCTCGGGGTCACCTCCAAGGGTCCTTGGGTGCCTGGTACAAGACCAGCCCCTATCTTCGGGTCCGAGTTTGTAGAGAGAGGAGTCAAGAATGACTTAGCCAAAATAACAAGAGTACCTTGAACGTCGCGCAGCGTATCATGCAGACCGTCGACCGGATTAAGCTGAGAATTTCCTATATCGAAGCTCGCTCCAAGAGCTTTAAAATAAGCCAAGTTGCCTCGCGAAAAGTTCTGCCATTACGGAGTTATTGCTCGGACAGCGTTTGCCTAGCGTTGGAGTGCTAGCGTACTAGCGTTGACTCGGGTAGCATTCCGCCGTCGTACCGTGTAGAAACGAAATTCCAGGAAGGGAGGAATTTGCTTGAATCAAATTGACTATATTCAGGTACAAACAGAGAAGTAATAAAGAGCTCTAGCTAGCAAGGACCTTGGGAATGAACCTGGGAACAACCAGGGATGATCCCAAATAATTCCAAGCAACAGAACCAACCTGGCTGGATAAAACAGCAGGTGGTAGGTTGGTAAACAACCTCTGGTTCTGTTTTTTCAACCTGGGAACACAACAACCAGGTTCAGCTCCTAAAAACTGAACCTGTTTTGTCTTTGCCCAACCAGCCAAATGCTGGTTCCGCTGGTTTCCCCTGGCCCTGTAGCATGCAGATATAGACAAACAACATCCAACCTTCACCTAAATTGTACCTCTATAATGCCTGCCCTGCTGCACTATAGTTAACCAAACAAAACAGTACAATTTCGAGTTGGATAGAACTGAATCTGCGCAATCAAGTAAGCTGAACCGCAAAGCTTCCATCTTGGGTTCCTTTGCGAGCTCGTCCTTTCTGCTTGTACTGTTCATAGCGCGTACAATGTTGTGCCGAAGCGCACATTGCGCGAGTACCTGCAAATGCATCAAGCGAAAATTGCGAAAGAAAACAAACACACGAACATTCCATCCATACCCAAATCCATTTGCACACGCATACTCGTACAAACAGACGGCAGGATGCCGTGCAATGTGAATTTGCACCCAACACACTCCCCCTCAGCCTGCCGGCTGCATCCCCATCATTCCATACTAGTTCATGCTCATTCCACTCATGCGCACACAACGCCAATGAGGCTCATCCGCAAGCCTCTTGGTGAGGAAGTCTGCTGGCTGCTGGTGAGTCTTGATGTAGATCGGATTCACCGTCCCCCTCTTCACCTCCTTACGCAGCCAGTGCCACTTGATACGCATGTGCTTGTTCAGCCCATGAAGCACAGCGTTCCTGGCCATCCCAAGAGCTCCCTTGCTATCACAAAACAGCGGCGTAGCAACCTTCTGCTCCTGGCCAATCTCCTCTAACAGCCTCCTCAGCCAAATCACCTCCTTCACCCCGTGAAACATTGCCATGTACTCTGACTCCACGGAAGAGAGTGCCGTCTCCGTCTGCTTCTTTGACCTCCAACTAACAGGTCCTCCCCCAACTACACAGATGTATCCTCCCACAAATGAGGAATCCTCCTTCTCAGAAGCCCACGTAGCATCAGTAAAGCAAGTGAGAAACAGCTTGCCTTCTCCAAGCCTCTCCCCCTTCTCTTTCAGCATCTCAACCCCTTTCTGCTTCACCCGTGCAGATGCGGAGTATTGAACTCCAATGCTTGGGTGAGAGTTCAGATACTTCACCACACGCTCAGCTGCATCCACCTGCTCCTCTGATGGATTCTGCACCACCCTAGCCAGCTGCCCAACCGAGAAAGAGATGTCGGGCCTCGTGTGAACTGCTGCATACAAGAGGCTGCCCACCAAGGACTGAAATTTCTGCTGCTCCTCGGCTTCAACCCCTTCATCCTCTGCAGCCTTCACAAGCTTGAATTCTGCTGGCAGGGGAGTTGCAACCTTGCGCTCATTCTCAATCCCATACTTCTCCCCCAGCTCCTTGATGAACTTCTCCTGGTGCAGCTTCAACCACCTGTGATCTGGATCCCTCTCCACGTGCATCCCGAGGTAGTACTTTACCTCCCCAAGGTTCTTGCACTTGAAGTTCTCCATCTGCTGCTGCTGCACATTCTGGATCTCTTTCATGCTGCTGCTAAAGAGAAGAGTGTCGTCCACGTAGACCAGAAACAGCACCAGCTTCTCCCCCTCCCCTTTGAGAAAGAGGCTCTCATCACAGCTGCTGGTCCTGAATCCCATCTCCTCTAAAACAGCTGCCAACTTCTGGTACCAGCAGCATGGCGCCTGCTTCAAGCCATAGATGGACTTTTTCAGCTTGCACACCCTGCCTGTACCATCCTCATGCCCAGACGGCTGCGTCATGTACACATCCGCCCCTAAAGTCCCATTGAGGAATGCCGTTGATATATCCGTCTAAATGATGAATTTCCCACTAACGGTTGCATCTGTCAACAAGACACGGAGGGTAGGGGGTTTGGCAGTGGGAGCAAAAATCTCATTGAAGTCCTGCTTCTCCTTCTGCATAAACCCCTTAGCCACCAGCCTACTCTTGTAGATGGTGACCTGTCCCTTGTCATCGGTCTTGATCCTTAGCACCCACTTGCACTGTACAGCTTTCTTCCCATCGGGCAGCACCACCAGATCCCATGTCCCATTCTCTAGTAGGCTCTGGTACTCAGCATCCCTAGAAACCAGCCACTTCTCCCTATCTGGTCCAGCTAATGCCTCCTCCATGCTAGCTGGTTCCTCTGGTGCAAGGGCAAGAAAACAGTAGGCAGGTTCATCCTCCTCATCCGGGTTATAGCCATGCGGTAGAATCAGCAATGCCTCCTCTGTCCCAAGCTGCTGCTCTGCTACATCAGCTCCTGCAGTCAGCTTCTTAGTAGCCATACGGGTACGTCCCGGCCTGGAGACGGGTGTCTCCCATCCCTTCATAACGACACCCTTCGGCTTCTTAGTTTTCCCCTGCTGCTGCTCTCCCCCCTCGGATCCAGCAGCTCCACTAGTGCTAGTCTCCACATCATTTTCTCCACCAGCAGGTGCCTCCTGTACCATCTTTCCATCACCACCCTCTGCAGCTGCCTCCTCTCCCTCCTCCCACACACTAGGAGTCAGGTCCAGCTACATGGTGATCTGCTCCATCTGCTGGGACACCCTCGCCTCCGGCTGTTTCTCTCAGCTCCCAAACATCATGCCCTCAACAAACTTCACATCCCTGCTGTCAAACAACACACCCTTGGATGGTTCCCACAGCAGCCATCCCTTGCTCTCAGCAGCCAGCCCCAAATGCACACACCAGATTGCACTTGCCCCCAACTTACTGCGGTAGGTCTTGGGGACGTGGGCGACTGCCATGCAACCGAACACCCTAAGCATGTCCAGTGGCGGCTTCCTACCAAGCCACCTCTCCAACGGCACCCACGAGTCATCCCCAACCTTTGTGAGTACCCTGTTCCTAGCGACGGTAGCGTGCCGAACAGCATGGGGCCACATCAAGTTGCCCAGCCCAGATTCTATGAGCAGCGCCCAGAATTGTCCGGTTCGCCCGTTCTGCTACACCGTTGGACTGTGGGGTGTAAGCCGAGGTCAGCTCCCTCTGGATGCCCTGCTTCTTGAGCCAAGCCGTCATCTCAGCTCCAAGGAACTCACCACCCTGATCTGTCCTAATCCGCTTCATCACACACTCCGCTTGCTTCCCACGAATGGCAGCCATTCTTCCCGTATCGTAGAGGCAGCGTGGTCCTTCTGCTTCAGCGGATATGCCCACATAAGCCTGCTCCAATCATCCACTATGGTCAGAAAGTACCGCTCCCCCTTGTGCC